ATAGAAAAGTATCACGCTTGCAATTGGTAAAAAGATTGTATATAAAGCTCTCTTTGCTTGCACAAACGCCAGTAAGATGCGCTCGAGCATCTGCAGAAGGACAATAAGCAAAGCTAAAAAAACGTATCTTGTTGCATACAAACTCGTAAAAAAGGCGCAAAAAAACGACGATGAAAAACTTTGGTAACGACTTAAAAGCGACGACAACAACAACGACAGGGCAACGAAGTGCTCCAAAAGTACGAAGGGAGCAGGCAAGGATTCGTGAGAGAGCGTAGCCGAATGCGAGATGCTGCACTTTGGTCCTGGAGCCTGGACAAGCACAAACACATACATAACTGCAGTAATAAAAGTAATAACAACATGCAAGCCTGCACTTGCACACACATACAGAATACATATATACAAATATAGTAGAAAGGAAATATATATATGTGTGTGTATGTGTGTGTGAGACGTGCGCACAGTCAGTTTATGTGCGCTAATGGCATCGTTTACTGGTTAACTGTAAACGTACTCTAAATGGGTGTGGCCCCCAAATGCAACTGATGCTGCCCCTTAAAGCTCACTGCATACTGCACAGGCGGGTGTTGAATCCCCCCACCCATCCTTCCCACTCTCATCTCACAAGAGAAACAAAATGGGGCGTTTCCAACATTTTAACTGTGCGCGGCTCGTAACTGCAATGAGAGCAAGCACTTGCCACAAATGGGCACTTTTAATGTATGCATAGATTTTTTCCGATTTAAAATTGAAAACAATTTACTGCTTTGTACAAATACGACCCGCACTATTTAATATAACTTTCCAATTCTTTGTTTGTTCATCAAAATTCATGTTATCGTCTTTAAAGTAATCCTCTTCAGTTGCAATGCAGACACGCCATAAAGACCTTCTTCGATTCCATTGCAATCTTTTCCATCTGGTCAAAATGATTTCTCCGAAGCTATTTTTGGTTAATACGGTAGTTTTTGGCAAGAAGGAATGCAGTTGTGCAGTTTTTTGGAAAACAAACAAAAATTAAACAAAATGCTTTTTTGTATAATTTAATTAATAATAATAATAAGCAAATGATAAAGATGATGAGATAAGCAAATGAAAGATTATAGTGCTACCAACTTCCAAGCATTTATAAAATGAATTCCTGTAATAATTTTAATTAAACAAAATCTAACTGATATCCTACCCATTATATTAAGTTTATTTCTTGAACTTTCTTTCAATCTTTTATGAAATAAAGCAAAGGAATGTTTTCTGTAATGGTTTTAATTTCCATTTCCTTGCTTCACATTTGAATCTCTTCTTTCCTCATTGTTGCGAAACTTAAACGGTTTTGTAAAACTTCGAATTACTCATAGTTCGGAAAAGCACTAGTCTTATAAATAGAACAGTTTTTTGGTCTCAGGTCGAAATGTCGATCATGGAACAGAAAAATCTATGGCTGTAAATTTAAATAAAATTATATTTTATAATTTACATTTTAATTAAAGCTTGAGGTTGAAATTTCTTGTTAATGCTGTGATTTCTAAATTTATGAAGAATATTTCTTAATAATAAAACATTTATTAAAGCCCAGTTTTAGTATTGGGGCAATTTTTTAAATGTATAGAATTTATTTTTCTAAATGTGGCTAAATGTCTTACTCTTAATTTAAAATAACTTCATTCATATTAAAATTTACAAATTTTATTGCAGAACAATAGCAATGCCAGTCATAAGGCTGAGCCCTGAATTAAAAAGTAAATATGTATATTGTAATGCTTATAATGGCTGAACATTTTTAATTGGCCGTATTTCCAGCAATACTTTTGCATCTAATTTGAATTCGAGCAGCTATTATTGGATAAAGAGACCGTGCGGGCAACAATAAATCAATTTGTTTAAATGATATGCGTTAGTAAACTAATTATAAAACATAAAATGCAAAAAAAAAAGCGCTTGCTAATAAAAGTTCACACAACTACCAATAATGACTTAACTACTTAATTAAAATGGCAACTAGCAGAGAAAAAACAAAAGCATAACAACAATAATACAAATTTAATTCGTTGTGCGTGTGTGCAGTGCATATTTAATATATACAAACATACACACCCATTGATGTTACTTATGTACAAAAGAAAATGCAACAACAAATCGTACAACAACTAAATGTGTAGCACACGCAAAGCATAAAACACGTTTCTCACACACACACACACACACACACACACACACACAAGCACCTACAAGTGACGACCAATGCAGAACGCACAACAAAACTCCCTACAAAACGCAGCCCCAAACTACTCACATATATGTATATATGCATGCATGCGTGTTGTTGTTACTAATAGTGTTGTTGCTTGCAACACAAACTAAAACGCTGCAACAACAACACAAACAAACGACAGCTGGCACAGGCAGCAGCGCAGCAACAGCAACATTAAAAGTGGAAAGGAAAGAGAGACATAATAAAACGAGCCAATGACTATGAAGCTCCGCCTACTATCCGGCGACAACAAAAAAAACAACAGCAACTACCGACGACGATGACGCTGACGACGAAGCTGGTACCACGACTCGCCTTCTTGTTATTACTGTTGTTGCTGTTGTTGTTGCTGTTGTTGTTGCTTCAGCAGTCGTGAAGGTAAAAAGAAGCAAAAATGGCAGGCACAACATAATGGCATAAGCAGAGAGCAACTAAAACATGAAACCCACCGCTGAGCAACAGCAGCGTCCATAAAAAACATGACAACGAGCAGACAAAAAGGGGCTAGCACTTTGATTTTGGTAAAGGCACTAAGGAATGCACAATTCATAGCTACATACACGTATATACACATTTATATACACATTCTCTTACGTATATAGAATGTACATTTGCAGTATGTGTCAGTAATAATGATCCATGTTCGTTGAGAGAGAGCATGTGTTTATGAATGTGGAAAGTGCTTGAAAGACACTTTAGCTGAACACTTTAAAAGAGTCACTACATTTATGGATGCCATTACTTGTAAATGATATTTTGAATGATATTAGTTAAAGTAACTTATATAGTATAAGTATGAATATTCAACACTGCTACAAATATTTGTTGCAACAATTATCGATATGGCGATCAACCAATAACATTTTTTATTTATTTATTTATTTCATAAAAGAACTTTGTTTGTCGATGTAAAAGAGACAAATGAATACAATAGAGAGCTTAAACTTACGAATAACAAAGCCTCTAGAAATTAAAAAAATATCTAATAATAAATCCGACTCGGTGGAGGTATAATATTTGGCAAACGTCCATCTTTGTTAGTACTGTGGCACAGAATAGTCAGATGTAAAAAAGATAAATTAATACAATAGAGAGCTTAAACTAGCGAATAACAAAGCCTCTAGAAATTACAAGAATATCTAATAATAAATCCGTCTCGGTGGAGGTATATTATTTGCCAAACGTCCACCTTTGTCAGTACTGTGGCACACAGTAGTCAGAGACGTAATTACACCTAAAAGAATGAAATATAGGGAAAGAAATAACAATCAAAAACAAATTAGTAATACAAATTAAAAATATAATTAAAGGTAAAATATTATAAAAAAAATTTTCATGAATTGAAAAACTCAGGGAACTTATGAAATACGGAGGAATTAAGCACGTACAGTTTATATTTTATAAATCAATAATTCTATCAGTGTACTGTTTTATAAATTGTCGAATTACATGCTTAATCGGGGTTAACTTAGCCCTTTGATATACCAACATTTAAAAATGCACACCCCCGAAAATATTCCTTATTATTTACCGAATCGAAACCAAAGGAATAGAAAAGCTAAAAGCAGTTCTTAAGTACATTATTATTGTTTTATAATTTGTATTGCTGAAATATTTATATTTCAATAAAAAAAATATTTCATTGCTAATTTAAATATAATTAATAGAATTATTATAGAGAACTAAAGAGTAATCAAGTTTTTTAATGTTTTAAATAAATTTCGTTTAAAAATTTGATCGCAGCTTTTAAGAACACGTGATAAAACTGATAGTGGGCTAAGAAATTATGTAAAATTCTTATAAAATCAAAAGATGTTATACTTTTTGTCTCGACTTTTGGGCTGGAGAATATTCCTTTTCTTAAAGTAATAATTTCCGACGTCGTCTATATGGGTGTCTTCCGAATTTTATGGGAATAGAGTTTTTGGGAAGAAGAAAATGTTACAATTTCAATGATTTTAATTTGGATTTCAAACGTTGTTTAAAGACTTTAGCTGGCAGGATTTTTGTATTCTACCATTTGTTTTGAAGTTTGAATGAAAGTAAAATTTATTACATTGCAAAAAGCGTAGTAGCTGAGTAAAGAGGTGTTTCAGTGTCTCCATCGATACCTTTTTTATCTGAAAACAGTGTCATTTATTACAATTGCAAAGCGTTATCATTTTCTTTGATTTCGATGCGCGATACACTATTTTAATTTGCTAAGATAGCTGAGTGGAAGTGAAACCGTTGGCTGATTATTTTACAAAATGTATCAAGCTACTGAACGGGTATCAATAATGCTAACCACCACTGTATCTGCTACTATTTGTTGATGCCTACACTCCTTCCTGGCATATCGAATTGCACTTTATGCCTACGTATTTACCGCCATAGTTTCTATAAACATTACATTACTCCCGACGGCTGCATTATTGTTGTTTATATTTCTTATCGCCTCTGCGTTTGGTTTTCATTTTTTGAAATTCTCTCGTCGCCGTCGGAAAATGAAAAATGCATTCAAAGCAAAAGTATAAACCAATCGTTGGCTATTTGTTTTATTTATGAAATCGAAATTTGTTTGATAATGCACTTTCAATGTTAAGATATTGTGAATCGAAGTGTTGTTGTATTCAATTACTTTAAACTTGTTTATCACGCAACAATACATTAATGAATACCAAAACAATGTTATTGTTTATGCTGATTGTAAAGTCAGCTTTTTTATGATGTTACAATAAACGATTTTTCCATTCTTTATGCCTTGCAGGTCAAGATGTTTTCCTAGACTATTGTCAAAAGCTATTAGAGAAATTTCGTTATCCTTGGGAACTAATGCCGCTTATGTATGTGATATTAAAAGATGCTGGCGCAGATATTGAAGAGGCTTCAAGACGCATTGAAGAGGGTGAGTTGCAAAATGGTCAATGGCTTATCATTTAAGTACTATAAAGCAATGATGTACATTGTGATCACACAATTAACATAAACGAAACAAATCTATTCTGATCAACCATAGGCCAATATGTTGTGAATGAATATTCCCGTCAACATAATTTAAATATTTATGACGGGGGCGAGTTGCGCAATACGACGCGCCAATGTGGATGATAACTTTTCAGTAATTAAACAAAAGTTATGAGAATTACGAAAAGAAATCAAATTGAAAATTTAAAGAACATTGTCTAGTTATATATTTATTGTTTTCTAATTTAAATGCATCACAAGAAATTCAATATAAATAATAGCTTAAAGCTTCAATTTGAACGATACGCGCATAACTTAAAGTCAAGTTTTGTAAATACGAATATCGAATCTAAAGTAAGCAACCTAAAATACATCGTCTATGTACCCAAATTATCTTCAATCAACAAACCAAAAATGATGCAAACTACCACTAATATGGCCAAAAGAACTCTTCAATCAACATACCCCTGAGATGCTTGTTCTTCAATCAACATACCCCTGAGATGCTTGTTCTTCAATCAACATAACCCTATGAAGCTTTTTCATCAATCAACCTATCACAGACTAGCTTGTTCATCAACTTACCCAAAAATTATACTAAAGGACCTCTTATCGGATTCTCTTCAATCAACAAACCCAAAAATTGTTCTAAGGACGTCTTATCGGATTCTCTTCAATCAACATACCCTAGAACCAATGGAAATCTTGATATCTCTCGCAAGTGTGTATCAATACTCAAAACGTGCTTGAAATCTACACAACGGTTGTTTAGTTTTAGTTGTTTATTGATCTAAGTTAGACATGCATTGAGCGTAGTGCTTTCAAAAAACAATTGTCCAACATTACATTTTAAGTTTTAGAGAAGAACAAATATTGCCCTAACATGATTTTATCCTGTTTTGTATTTAAGGGTTTAACAATTAAATAAATATTGTTGGCTATTTTTATTCCTTAACATTTGAATATTTTTCAATTTCAGCTATAAATTAAGAAATCTAACCGCAATCTCAGAGTTTTAAGTTATAAAACCGGGCATATTTCGCAAAAAAAAAACCAATTAAATGTATAAAATTTTCAATATCTTTTACACTATTTTTTTTTTCTTTTTTAAAGCCGTAAGGCTTTAAGTCCCTTTCCATCAGCACTATGCTCAACAGACTAATACTAATATTAAATAGCAAACCCGATTTTGTGGTATTTACATAAAAGTATATTGATATTGTGGACTTCACGCACAAACTATAAGAAACCGTTTTCCTTTTGCCCGTATTTTTCAATAAAATGCCACAAAACGATATTATTCCAACAACAAAAAATCAAATAAAATATAAAACATATGTATTACATATATTAGCACGGGTCTTTCCCTAATTTCATGCTTTGTATAGTGTATACAGTAAATAGACATTCAATCGGGCCCTTTTCGTTGTGAGTTGAGAGCACAAATTCAAAAGCTAAATATATACATATATCAATTTAATAATAATTGTAATTTGCTGTTAATATGTAAAGAACGACTTCTTCGAAAACATATTTGTAATATTTTTTAATAAGTACTTATTTACATATAAATATTAATACTGTATAAATATTGTTATCTATTTAAGCAGTTCATATACATAAACGAAGCCACAAAAAAATAATATAAAAAGTATGTTTAATGTAAAAAAAAACAAATAAAATATTTTCCTTAAACAACATAGAAAGAGTGATTTTACTTTAATTTAGTTGTAAATTATGTCTATTTTTTAATATATGTATGTTTAATTTAAATTTACTTGTTTAAATATAGAGAGCAAATGTAATATTACTCACGGAAAAAACAACCAGAAATTTAAATGGCGGCAAAATTGTCATTTCTTAACCAACAATTGCGTTTCTAGTTTAAAGGGCTTTTTACATTTACTTTTCTACTTTGTAAGAATCTGGGTTGTGAACATTTACATAAAAATAAGAAAGCAGCCATAAATTAAAATTGAATCTAATCATTTACTTTATTTGTGCTCCTTAGCGAAGCTCTCACTAAATTCAATTCTTTAAGCAAAAATAAATAGAAATTAACAATACGGAAAAGAAAAGCACAGCACACCAAAAAGCATTGAATATTCGACCACACACACTCACAATTACACACACACACACACATGTACGGAATACCATAAAAAGCAGCTCGAAGGAAAGATGCAATTTCCACATTGGGATTGAGTGACGGGCATCTGAAGAGTACGAGTAGTCGGAGTATCAGCTGCTGTTTGTTTTGTTGATGACATTAAAAACTGTAACGATTGCTTTTCAAGTTGTTGCCATTTCAGTGGAACCGTTACACGTCGCAGCATTTCACTCGACAGAACTCTGTCCCTCTCTCTCTCTCTCTCTTCCCCCCTCTCTTCTTGCTCCTGTTGGCACTGCTGGTTGCTGTTGACGCCGGTGTTGGCATCGTAAATGCATCATTAAACCGAAAAATGCATGCGAAAAATTTACGACATTGCCAACACTGCTGCAGAAGCCTCCAACGCGTTGTTCTGGCATTGGCATCCAGGCAACCGAATGCCGTTAGACTTGCCAGCTTTTAGGGCATGGGAAAGCTGCAAACTCAAATTATTTGCCACTCCACCAGGTAGCTACAATACTACTAAACACGTTCCAGCACTTGTTGTTGCTGCCACAGCACCGAAACGGCAGGAGTAGGCAATCTGAAGTGTAAATGTGGACGCAATAAAGCTTAAAAGTGTTTATTGTCCGCTTGTCTCGATATTGGAGCACCCACATACATACGTCCTTGTGTGTGACAGCAAGTTGTGAATTTTAAATGAGTTCAAGCTGTTACTAACGATACCAGTTTCGTTTAGTTAAAGTAATTTATGGTGTGGCTTGAATTTTGCGCAAACACATCTCGATTTTCGCATATATGGCAACTCTTTCAAATGTTTTAACATTTTAAAGAAATAAGTATTTAGTATCTTTTTTTTATTGCCTACTTGTTAAATTTGATTAAGTCTTTCGCAACACATTTTTGCATGTCTAAACGTTACATAAAGGATAATCGTTTAACAAAAATAGGAATTTATTTTTTTGGTCAACCATATAACAGACGAATTTGCCAAATAAAAATTGTAACATTTCATAAAAATAAATAATAACTGAATTATAAATTTATGATTTCTTTCTGATGATATCCCTTTTATAAATTCAAATCGATAATGATTTCCAACGTCGCAAAAGTGTAAAGAAATAAACCTAGACCTAGACCTAGACCTATACCTGTTAATTATTCATTTATGTAAATCATTTTCTAATATACTTATGTACATACATGGATGTTTGATTTTTTCAGTATTCGAACGAGGATATTTAGTTTTTCGTGCATAATAAGCAGTAATCCCATATCTGCTGCCCACATCATTACCCTTCCATTTAGTTTCATCAATGACTCAGTACACCCACACTTAATACTGGAATTCACGCATCCCACTTAATTCCGCATCACTATTTTTATTGCACATTCCATTCCTTCCATGGGTCATATTTTAGGCGCAGTTTTTATTTGTTTGGTCATAAAAAACTTGGCAACTCTGCATTATACAATTTTTGTGGCGCCATTACAGCCAACGCCTCATCATATTACGAGAGAAAGCCTCCGCTGACATACCCTTTTCTACAAATACCTTGGATATATGTATATGTATATGAGTACATACCTAACCTAAAAGCAGGGAAAGAGTTTCGCAAGCATTTACCAATGTGCTTATTAAAAACTATAGGAAAAACAAGTCAACGACGACAGCAGGAAGCAAAAATTTCCAACTTTACGACTTCATATTGTGGGTTGGTCGTAAAAAATGTGCAGCGTCAGTTTCTACTGCTCAAGCCCATACTACTATTTCTACTACTATTTTTACTACATTTTTCTGAAGCTACAACAAGCTGGCATTTGCGACTACGTCTGATATACGTATACTATATACATACATATGTGTGTATATATCTTTTATATACGCACGCATGATGGATGCATCACACCACCAGCAACACTGACACTTAGCTATGTTGGCAACCCTGACCACTAACATGGACGCCACTGCTTGCTTTCCTCCGACTGGCCGTCTAAATAATAAGGAACCAGTTTGTCATAAATAGCTCGGACGTGGTTTCCATTAAATTGGGCGAGCTGAGCTGATTGTTGTCATTTTCTACATGTTGCTGTTGTAGTTGTTGCTTGTCGCTGTTACTGTTACTGTTGCTGTTCCTGCTGGTTAGCCAGTCAAGTGTAAATTTATTGCTGAGGTTTTTCTTTGTGGCCATTGCAGCGTTTAGCTGTTGTCGGTTGTAAACGCCTGCAGACATGCTGATTAAGCAGAGAATGAAGAATTGTGATGGGGAACAGCTATAGATTTCCTTCTATGGCGCACGCAATGGCTATTAAATGATTATGTCGCAGTTCTAGATCTTGAAACCATGTTTTTTTATAAAATTATCTTTCTGAACCTAACGTACCTTGAAAGTGCTCCCATTAAGCGTGTATAAATTTTCTGTGAACAAGTATTCTGTTCATTTATTTTCTTAGGTTTGCGTTAAATTGAAACTGTATACATATACACAACTAAGTGACAGGATAATTAGTGATCAACGCACAGCTCAAATAGTATGTAAGAGCTAGGAAGCTGAAATTTGACCTATGTTTCCTTTCACTCCAAATGGGTAAAAAGGGCTCCAACGTTTGTAAAAAAAATTCTGAATTTGCACTCGATTAGCTCCAAACCAAAATCATATTTAGATTATTTACAATATTCTTTTAAAAAATAATAATAAACATTTTTCACGTCTTATTGTAAAAATTATATTAACTGTTGTTCTGTAGAAGCAAAAGAGAAAATTATTATATTCAGACTATTTTACATTATTGAATTCATTCATTCTTCCTGACTGAATGAGTAAAAATAACAATAAGTAAAGGGCAATTTTGATAAAATTTTAGCAAGTAGACTTTTAAAAAAAAATCATTTTTTTAGACTTGCAAAAATAGAAATTTTTTTCAATAATTTATCTTCGTTAGATGCATTTGAAACAGCTATAAGCTGCCATCAAAAGATTTCAACAAATGAAATTTGGAGATTGTAAAATGCCACCAATTCTGGACTCTCCAATCTACAGAAGCTTGAAAACCGTCTCAGTAAATTCATTTTCAATTTTTCCTTCTCAACACTATTAAATACAGACCTGCGTAATTAGTTACACTGCTATGAGCTTTTCAATATATATTTAACAACTTATTTTTGCCCTACCCGTACTTGAAGTTTTTTACGAGACCCAACTTCGTAAGCTCCAAGGTCGTTACTTAAATGCGTGACTCCTCCGAAGGAGGGAAAAGGCAGGAGCGTAACATCCATTCTTATAATTAACGTGAAATCAAGCGAATATTTATGACAGCTTGCCATGTACGAGTGTAGGCATGAGAGGGTTAGAGCGAGACAGAGACAGCGCACGCAGTCGTTGCAACAGAGAACGCGCAAAAGTTCAGTTTTACGACTTTTTATTTCGTCAAATTGCACAATGGGCGGCATTAGTTGCAGAGCTAAATGAATGAGTTGGGAAGCAAGTAGCAGGACGACGACGATCCACTGCTGGGCATAGTAATAACTGTACCTCAATGTGTCTTCGCGTGTGTGTGTTTGCGTGTGTGTGTGTGTGTGTGCAGCAGCTCATGCGTAATTCTCCCTTTCTACCTCTCTCTCCCCCACACTCGCTCGCTCTATCTCCGTCTTTGTTTTCTCGCATGTGGCTCTGCCTGCGCTTTTTAATGCATTTTGCAGTTGGCGGAAGAAAAAATCCCATTAAAATTAAGTAAAATTGCAGCCGCAGCAACAGCAGCAGCAGCAACAACAAGAACAACAATAACAACAGCAACAACAATGGCGTAATCGTAAAAACTTGGCATTTTGATGTTGCACCCAGCAGTAAAATTTTGAAAACTTTTTGCAAGATAAGGCGCTCGGGTGCCCCGGTCTTGAGCTCCAAACACAATCGCCCTCCATCTCGCTCCTCCTTCTGGTATCGTGCAGCAGACAATACATATGTATGTGTGTGCGTGTGTGAATGTTCTCTGTGTGTGGGTGTGTGCCATAAAGTGCAATCCATAGGTGGCTTTTTGTTCTTACCATTACCTCACATGGCATAGACATTTAGTATGGCATAGTTAAGAGTTATAGCCGTTATAGTTTATAAGTTTTGTAGTAAAAAGTGTGAAACAAACGATATAAATTTGATGCGCGTGTAAGGAAAATGAATAGCATTAAAAATATAAATAAAAATAAAAGAGCCAAACAAGTTCATTTACGTGAGCGTTTTGTGTTCTCTTTTCAAAATTAAGCGCACCAATTTTTTACAAGCCAGCGCATATTATTTACATAAACCATAGGAAAAGAAACTGCGTCATTAATTTAATCCTTTATATGAAATACAGAGATCCACTATAAAAAAAAAAATGCTTAATACTCAGCTAGCACTTCATTTTGTAATTAGGGCTCAGAAAAACAATTTAACTTTTATAATCAGTGCTTAAAAGTGTAATTTTAAGGTTAAAAAAAACCCCTGGTTTAAGCCTTGCCTTAAAAGTTTTAACCATTTTTAAGTAATTCGTTTTATTTAAAAACCCTTATTCTACAATTGGAACCAAAATATTAGAAAAAGCTAATAACTTTCATGTTTAAATGCAGCAACTCTTTAGAAGGGTAGCATACTTCATTAATAATTTATTCTTTCAAGTGTCGATCACTAATTAAAGTGATAAGGAAACGTCGCAACATTTCCCTTTTTATTATAATGCCAGCACCTATATTTTTATATTTTTTTAAAATTAATTCTTTTAGTTTTAAACTGTCTTACCCAACACCTTATATTGCAGTTGATGAAATGTTGTCACAATCATTCATGTTTAATTTCTAAACTCTTTTAAATTATTAAGTTTTAACCCCAATTGAACAGCTTCTACTATATTACTTATTATAAATATTGTATACTGTCGATCACTTATTTAGTGCTTTTGAAAACACCCATTATGTTGCACTTAATTAAAAATTAATTTTATTTACCGAAAACCATATTTTATAAACAGTGAATAGAAGGAATACAAATAGATAAAGTGCCTTACTAACACTTTATTTTATAATCAGTACTCAGACTTTAATGTTAATCTAAGAACAAGGTTCCAAAGCTTGCAATTAATTTTCTCAATTACTTAAAATTTACTTAGCTAAATCCAAACATGAGTATTAATTTAATCTAGGTGCTTTGGAAATGGAATCACAACCAAGTTCAACAAATTCCCACACCACATACATACATACATACTAATAAATTATAAGAAAATTATAAAGAAATAATATTTTTGTTGCGCGAAAATAAATGTCTATTATTTTAATATTTCTTTAGCTTAGACAATTAATTTGTAATTACTTGACTGTGGGAGTCAAGCCGTTTATCAAAAATCAAATCGTTTTATACCTGAACTATTACTGATTTCATCAAATCATTGATAGGTCAGATAATTATTATTATTTGAATAATGTATATATTATTTACAAAGTATTTTTCAAATGTCTTTTTAAAACTTGTTTGAAAGCAATTATATTTAATGCTTATCAGCTAAGTCTTGACAAAAAAAAAAAAAGACAACTTGAATTTATATTAAGTTAGCAAAGCTGCTAAAAGTGCGGCTTTAGATACCAAAAATGGATCAAACTTATCTAAGATTTGTGCATATTTTCTAAATAAGTCTCTCCACTCACTGAGCCATTTTGTAACTTGGCTCAGAAGCAGCTAAATTCCTATTCTTATTCTTTCGTTATACCTTTGAATAAAAGGGGAATTTAGATCGAAAAAGTCACAAGCAACAATGGGTTCCAAAGAAAACCCTAAAGGAGTTCATCTTAAACAAGAACAACTACTAATGCTCTATTTCCTCATTCAATTCACAGCGCGAGTAGAAATAAATCGCATTGTAGCGGAAATCTATTACAACTACTACCTTGTGAATGGAGCGCCCATGTACCTGACCCATCCGAGCATCGAGCAAGGACGCTATGGCACTCATTTCACACATTTGCCCTTGACGCAGATCCGTCCGCCCACTCCAGAGCCCCTGGCGCTCAGTCGCACGCCGCCCAGTCCGGCCCCGCCTGCGGCGACCGCAGCGACTTCAGGATCAGCTATTAGTGTCCTCAGCCTTCGACAGCCCTCACGTCCCCCAAGCAGCAATGGCACAGTTACCTCGGCAGCATCGCCCAGCGCTCTGACGTCCACCACTAGCAGCATGACAAACGCACCCTCAACTCAGGATACTCAGACAGCGACGAAGACGACGACGGCGTCGAGCAGTCAGTCAACCTCCTCGCCACCGCCGCCGCCATCCTCGCAACACTCACGTTCCGGCACACCCACGCCGCAGCCGCCCCTCGCGCACAGCAGCAGCTTGGCCGCCTCCTACCATCACCATCACCATCATCCGCTGCTCTCCAGTGGCGTGGTGGTCAGCTCCTCATCGGCGGCTGCTGTGGCTGCGGCGGCAGCTGCCACGTAGCAATATTGCAATGTTGCTGCCGCGGCGGCGGCAGCAGCAGCGGCTGTGCTCTTTGTGTAAGTACAACAGATCTCTAGAAATTTAGGGTTACAAGCACTTTTTAAATCAATTTTAATTTCTCTATAACTCAAGTTTTATTGTAATTCTAAAATCGTAGTTTCTTCGCTACTAAAAGTAATATCTAGGAATATGAATCCTACTCGTAGAACTGTTCGATTACAATTGACTCAGATTTCAAATACTTTTAAAAATAATTCACCTTTGGTTGCATTTGAATGCTCCAGAATTGGAGTAGGAATTGTAAAAACATATTCAACTTATTCAGCAATTATTGCACTAAGAATAATACAACAATTTCCAAGCCTTGTTGTTGCGTTTAACGAAAGAAAGTATTGTATAGCGATAACTAAATAAATTTTCTTACTATTTTCCACTGTTCAGTTACGTTTTGAGCACAATTAATATTTTTGCTTATACTTTTTATTTTAAAGCTCAAGTTTGACATTTTATATTTGAATGCATAGATATTTACAAAGCTTTCGTAAAGGCCTCTCTACCCTACTCTCTAAACCACATCCTCTATATACCTAGTATAACTAAAATGCAATATGTTAAACAATAGGTGAAGTGGATGAGAAAACAGAACAATGGCCGAAGTTAAAGATTTGGACACGTTTCTATCGATGGCGTTGACTTAATTTGACGTCGCCAATTTCCAGAAATGGCCAAATGGAACTTTGGCCCTCAATCGTGATGCTCATTTTGTATGCCAGACAGGCGCATTGCTTTTAATCAAATCAATTTTGTTCGCATAGTTTTATGTTTACAATTTAAGTTTTGTGTTTCAGTTTTCATTTCCGGTCTGCCTCTTTGCGTGCATTTCCGGCAGCGCACGAAAGTATGCAATGCTCTTTTCATCATTTTGCCTGATGGCTGCAACGTGCACAGCTCAACAATAACAACTACTACTATACTATAACAACAACAGCAGCAACAGAAGGAGGAACAAAAACTGCATTTCCACTGCAAATGAAAAACAATTCCTCTTGGCTACACGCCCAGCTCCATTGAACCCCCTCCCCCCGCCGCCCCACCAGCCCATCACTCCACTGCAATCATCAACCCATCCACCCATTCAACGCGGTTGCCTTGCACTTGCCTTTTATGCTGACGAATGCTTGATGCTGTTGTTGTTGCTTAATTTTGATGCAAGTGTTAAATTTCCATTCCCATTCTGGCATTTTTGTTTATATTTTTCGTCTTCATTTTGTTCGCTGTGCGGCGTTTAAATATTTTGTTGCCGTCTTTTGTCTTTTGTTGTTCCTCATTTGTTGTTATATTCGAGCTATCCATTTGTTTTAATTAAAACTCAAGTGGCGCCAGCGTCTTTTATTTCACACTTAACGTTGGCTCTGGCCCTTTTGGATACCATTTCATGTAAATAATCGGACGAACAGCGCTTTGGGATTTTTCGGGCGGCAATATTCGCACGAGATTCAAGTGGCCTCCGTTTGAATTAATAATAAATAGAAGTAACCTTTGGAATCTAGAAGTGGATGTTTATTTTATATGTATATAAATGGGCAGTAATAATCAGGGACTGTCTAGTTAACGTCTTTAAAGGAACAGTTATCTTGTCACACATTTGTTGGAGAAGCACAAAATCTTATAGGATTCTTAAATTTTTTTTGTCAGAGAATTCCTGACCAAACAGAAATTTTAATTACGATTTTACTATCATCTCAAACTATGTTATTTAAAAAATAAAAGAAGTAATATTAGCTGATAAATTGATGCACTTTTGTAAAAACGAGTCGATCATTACTTAATTAACAGATAACTCTAAATTTTTAACAACAAGTGGAGCTCGAAAATAAGCTTTTTACATCCAGAACAAATCAGATTGTCTTATTTTAAAATTATTTGCAATGCTAAGTTCTTCGAATTTCGATCATGAAGGTTAGCTCAATAGTTGCTCTGTATTATTTTCCATTTTTTTAGTCCGTCTTCTGGATTTATTTAAGATACAACTTATAGCTTTCCAATCAATAAAAAAGTGTATAATTTTGAGTAAGTTTTTTATGTTTAATCCATTATTGCATCATTAATTCGCTTCTTATAATGATTCTTAAAGCTTTTCCCATCGTAAATAAATCAAACATTTTCCTTTTCATTCGACATTTAACACCGAATCTTTTTAGTTGTTAACCGTCATTTACTCATACATTCTTAATTCTACTTATTGTTATGATTATTAAGCTTCCATTCATTAAATAAATAAAATAAAATTAATCTATATTCCATAACTCTTATAATTGTAATCTTTTTGTTTTACAATTCTGCTTGTAAACTAGACAATATTTAAATGAGTGGCCTAAGACTTCCTTTCCTTTTAAAATGCCGAAAATGTTATGTTCTAAAATGTTTGCCAACAAATTAATGAATTGCATAAACATGGCAAAAATTGTTCTGTAATTCTACTTATTAATGCCGAGCCATGGCATGGGGGTGGTCATCAAATGTTGGGCATCAATTTTAAGTACATTAACGAGCATGTTTATAAACAAATTATGCCTGTTGTGCCCACTTCATATACAGATGTGTAAGCTATTGGTTCGCCGGCAGTCTGACAGTCTGCTTCGCCATAGTTTTGACCATAAATTGGCATTTATGTTTATGATTATGCGCGAATGCCAGAACAAGAACAACAACTGCAACAGCAAAAATAATAGCATGAGTTAAACTCATAATGTTGCCTTCAAATGTGCACATCAAAACTTACACTGCGCACATTTTACGATGGCCCAAAGAAGTTGTAGAGTCCCCGGCCCCCAACCCGCCACTTCAAAATGCATATTTCAATGTCTGTCTGTGGCAAGGTAATAAAATATTTGCAAAAAGGAGAAAAAAAAAACTGAAAATGAACAACGCTCTTATGAAACAGCATCTAAATCTTGTCTAGCGTTTGCTACAAACTCCCTCCCCCAGCCCCTCAACACGAATGCTACTTTGATTGTTTGTGCCCTTTCGGCACATTAAAAAAAATATTCAAAAAAAAAACTGAACTCAACTCAACTCCTGCGCATCAAAGCGCTTGCTTCAAGGCCTTTTTACGAGCGCCTCATAAAAATGCATCGTACGCGAAAAGCTGCAGAGAAAAGGAGCCAAAAAAAAAATAGATTTTTATATTGTATGCAATTCGAAATGCCTGCGCATGTCAGGAGACCAGACATCATCAGCCAGCGGCCTAAGCCTAAGCATACGTATGAGACTCCACTTTTGGGTAATTAAATTTCGAAAACTACAAAGTCTGCGCCGAAGATCTTTGCACGTTTTTGTATGGTCATAAAAATATTTTTATACCCTGCACTCCAGGAGCAAACAAGCATCTTAAGTTATTGAAAGATTTCAGTCTAATGAGCGTCTGAATGTATGAACGCTCCCTACTTGATGACTATTTGAGCTAGATTCGTCAAATTTTGCTTAAGGACTCCTTAAGTGTCTCTGAGTGCAAAAATCAGCTAAACATTCTGAAAATTAATTAAAATCTATCGATATTATTATAGAAGTCTTACAAAAAATTACTTCGATTCATTGAGGAATTTGTATTTGCTATTCAGTTAGCTGTGCCCCGACTAAAACCATATAAAATATTTAAATTATTCTTTTGTATTAGATCTATTTAACATGAATTGTCTCGGATACTTTGGGGGAGATATTATAAAGTTTATTAGAAACAACAACAAAATTTGTATATATTTATTTCCCCAAAATTGTTCATAAGTCGCTTAGACTTTTTTTCGTGCCAGCAAATTAAAGGATGTCTAACATTCTGCTATACTTTAGCTTATGTTCTTCTCAAGGTGCATCAAACTGCGGTTGAAAGGATATCAGCTTTGTGTTGCTCAGCAGTAGCTTGACAATACAATTTTGCACGGTCCTTTTGAGGCATGAAAGGACAGCCCTTCACTGTCACTAATCAAGCTTAACAAAAATCGAAAAATCAAACAAAAGAAAATCCCCAAAAACTGTAGCAAAAATCAACAATTATTTAAGTGCAAATGTAAGGTAATAAAAACTGGCAAACAATACGCGCCAAACTTTTACGAGTCCTGGAACAACAACAACATCGTTTCATTTGTTTCATTTGCGACGCACTCCAAAAAGAGCAAGAATACGAGAAGAAAAGAAATATCCTTCGAATTGACACTTCAATTTCAAATGCGAAATGTCGACGGTCACCGTTTCCCCCTCTGTACCCCCCTCTCTAACCCATCTTACCTGCTCTGCTTCTTCTTCTTCTTCTTCTTACACGTCAGGGTTGGCAATAAATGCATAAGTTTTTATTTTACGATATTTTGTTTCCATTTAGTGTGCACAGCGAGAATATCATAAAAATGTTCCTCAGCTTCTGTGCGAGTGAAAAATGCAGAAAAACTTCCGCTTCTTTCTATTTATCTTTATTTTTGCAACACCCCAAGGGGGAAGTACCTGCTGGCCCCTGTTTGTGGTGTCATCGTTGAAGATGGGAGCTAATTTTCATGTTCAATTGCTAGGAAAATTTGCTGCAAATACATTTATTGCTAGTGCAACATCAAAGGTTGACATTCTAGCATAGGCAAGAAAGAAAAAAAAACATCAAATGCGAAACATCGTTTGATTAAAGTCTACGATTTAATATTAAAAGTATTTAGTATTTGCTGCCATTTTTAGGATCTTTTAACGCAAGCTTTCATTTGGCAATATAACAACTTTGTTGCATTGCAAATTGTATAGGAATGTTAAGCATAATAAACAGATACTATATTGTTATACTACTTATTTATGTATACTATAAGTATGTTGTTTGTAGCATTTTCTTGTGATATACAATTTCCGTTGATTTCTAATTTCCGCCGAGTCGTCATTAAAATGGTAAACAGCGAATCCCTTTATTTTTTAATGCTGCTCCCGAACCGTGCGTCTTCCGTACAGATCTTAAATGGCCAACCATAATAAAT